CGGGCACGGCCGCGGGCAGTCGGGCTGGGGCGCCGGCCAGCCAGACGGACCCAACCACCCCCAGGAACTTCAACAGTTTCTCATGAGTGCTGAGCGCTTTTCAAACATCACCTCGGTTTAGACTTGTCAGCATGCGCGCAGAAATCTAACTTTAGCCTTTCCACTAAGAAGATTTATTCATTCAAATCTTTGCCCAGTCCTATTCCCTGCCTTCTCAAAATCCCTTCCCAAAACAGAACACCCCCGCTTTGTCATTCTAATGCAAAAATAAGTAACTCAGCAACTTTCTGCAGAAAACCAGTTCCTAGATCTATTTGAAAATAATCACACCATGGAAGTGACTACAGAACAATTCTAAGCATGCTCCTCTTTCCCCGGGGACTCGTGCAACAGCTCTTTTTATCACTGCCCCTGGGAAGCTGCTGAAACTGATAACCCAGAAAACTACACAAACAAAAGGCTGAAGCAATACAGTTCCTTCAGCACCGTGCTGGAGTCCAGCGAATGGTGGAGATGTTGCCACCTTTGGCTGAGATACGAGGCTCAGAGGGAGAAAGACACTTCAGCAACTTGCCCCCACAGCAGGCAGGGCAGTACTGGCTGCAGCAAAGTTTACAGTGTCTACACAGCAAGTTTCCCCACTTTTTCTAGCCCAAATCGTATGCTGAAATAGAGCAGTGAGGATAGGTTCTATCGATGCTGTTTTTGAGGGCAAATGCTTTCCCTCCCTGTCCCCCCTCCCCTCGAAAAAATAACATTTTTGTGATAAAAATTAATGTTTTCACCACTCTCGCAGTAGCAGGAAGCAGGTTTTGCCCTTTGTTTTCTCCCTTTTTGAGGAGGGAGGGAAAAGGAAGCATGGACTTTTTTTTTCCACCACTTCCAAAGATAGGGAAGACTGTTCTAGAAGACAAAGGGTGAGTGTGAACCTCCTTAGGCCCATCTACAACCCACGGTCTGAGAGTCAGCTTTATCTCTTCTTGGTACTTAGATCTGGGCTAAGTCTCATCTGACAAGGATTGTATCTTCCTCCCATTTGTAGCCTACAGTCAGATCTTTTCTGCACAATTTAATTTGTCAGCTCTATCAGGCTTTTATCACTTCCTCTCCCCATACTTAAAGGAAAAAGGGGAAGATTAAAAAGCCACACACATTCTCAGAGTTTATTTGTGGACTGCTTTTTAAGGCCAAGAAGAGAATCACATTTACACCGTGGGAAGAGACTTTTGCTGCAGGGTTTTCCTTGGGAACTCTGAATGATTTCTGTTTCCCAGGACTTTCGATTACAGGATGCAATTTATGTGAATACTTTCTGAAATGTGGTTTAGGAAAAGCAGTTAAGCAGATGATCATAGCCTATGGAAAATGATTCCAGACATTTGTAACTAGTCCTGTGCTGTCTGAACCAAATATCTATGCTCCGATGTACCCCTCTGTATATGGTCTTCCAGAAGGGCTCTACATCTACCCAAGGCTCCTGAAAATAACCACTAAAAATTACAGATGTAACTGGGGACTGAACCTTTCTTGGTCTAAAGACTCCCAAGTTGCATCCTTGCTTTTGAAAGAGGAAGAAGATTCACACCATCTGCGTTAAACACAAATCAGATACTTCTGTGAAAGGACAAACACAAGGATCCCATTCTTCCTGCACAGTCAAGGAAGATGGTTACCAGTGAGAGGCTCAATTCATAGCTCCTAACAGGAAGGACAGACAGAGGGAGGTAGTATTTCTCAAACAGCGTGGCTATATTCACGGCTTATCCCATTCCCTTTCTTTCTCTCTCATCTTTATAAGAGCTGGGCTGGAGTCTCTGCAGTTGCTCTCATGGACTGAAAAGCATCAGAACAGCAGCAGATCTGCAAAGCTAAATTTCAGTCCTTTGAATAACATGGCACAGTGAAAAAACACCACAAACATTCAGCCACCCTTCTATTGCCCAGTAACAGGACCTATTTAAATGAACCACATCTCAGGTTCTCTCTGATGTGGAGCTCAGTCTCTTTTCCCAAAGAACGAGAGATAGGACAAGAAGAAAAGGCCTCAGATCGCACCAGCAGAAGTTTAGATTGGATATTAGGAAAAATGTCTTCCCTGAAAGGGTTATGACACCCCAGCCCTGGAGGAATTTAAAATCCATGTAGATATGGTGCCAAGGGGCAAGATATAGTGGTGACCTGGCAGTGCTGGGTTAACAATTGGACCTGATGACCTTGAAGATCTCTTCTTACCAGAATAATTCTATAGTACCATGTGCTTCTCGGACCAAAACTGGAGATAACCACCCAAATCCATACTAAACTCCTCTTTCATCTGAAAGTCTACAGCTTGCCCAGCCTCTATTCTCTGCACGTCTGCAAAGGAAAAAGCAAGGCCTGACAGACTGTGTGCTTTGCCTGTCACCTTGCCTCATGCTGGTGACATACTGCACTGCCACTAGGCCATTAGTCACCAGGTTCTAAGAGATCCTGCGTGACCCTTCCCGAAAAACATACGCTCCCCATGGCTCTTGTAAACAACCCACTGAGATTGTTCCAAACCAGTTCCTCAGTTTCTCCAGTCCATCCTCCTGAGGATGACAGTGAAAATTCTGGGTTAGTGAAACAGCCTGTGGAAAGCCAGGCCTGGCCAACTTGAAATACAATCCTTTTAATGACAAGGCCTGTCCTTACACGTGCATGCAGAACTGCTGACAGTGGAGCCAGCTAGGTATGTAGCTGTCAGAAAGGAGATAGGGATTTTCAGAGCAATCTCAGCAAGGCTCCTAATTCATGCTGAAATCTGCCCTAAGGTATCCTCAAAAAACAAAACAAAAAAAAAATAGAAACCACAGGCTGCAATCTGCACTGTAAAAGAACTGCAGGGCCCATCAATTCTCAGTCAGTAATAAAAAAGTTGAATTCCAGCCATACAAAATTGTTTTAAAGTGCCATGAGAGTTAAACTCCTATTGGAAAGCCCTGGAGGAGGATAAATCTGCTGAAGAGATCATTGTTTGACTGAATGAATTCCCAGCCCTGTCATCCGAGTTATGGGATACCTCCTGGGCTATAACTGTTGCACTTGAAGTGCTCTGTTTGCTTATTTCTCTAAGCGACAGAGAAATACGCACTTCAAAAGGTTGGAAAAAAGCATGAAGGAAAGACACTTACTGGTGGTTTGCTCTCCAGTCAAAGGTTTGCTCTCCCTGCCCTGGCTCACGGCAAAGATCTTAAAGAGATAGGTTGTTCCTGGGAGCAAGTCAACCACTTCAGCAAAAGAGCTCCTGGTGATAGGCAGCCTCTGGCCGTGTTGGCCAGGGCGATTGACAGGGATCACTTCCACTCGATAGCCAGACACTTGGCTCTGCGGTGGGGTCCACATGATGGTGATCTTGATATCAGAAACCTCCACAAATTGCAGATCTCTGGGTGAAGGAACCTCATCTGGAAGCAGAGTGACAGAACAGTGTTAAAGGGAGTCCTTAGCAATTGGCGCGAGAAGCTGCAGGTTTATATGGGAGAAAAATTAAAAAGTTCATTTTGATAGAACAATGGCTAGCCCAAGAATATTAAGCAAATTAAAAATGCCATGGTAACCTTACTGTAAACATGTATACACACATTCCCAGACAATACTCAGACAACTCAAGATGTCACTACATGGTTTTAAATATTTAATGCTTTCAGCCATAGAAGGCATCTTGCTGTTTAAGAAAACTGAAACACCAGATGTAATATACTACAGAACTTCAAGTACATGCAGAACCAAAATCTTAAGGGGAAAAAAGAAAACTCCAGGGGTTAGAAACAGGAATCTCCTTTTAAAATTAAAAGACAGGGTTTTCAAAACCCATGGTGTGCTCTGAATGTCTATAATTAAATCAAAATCCATCTTCAATAATTAAACAAGTATAGGGGCTGATCTGGCCTTACTGCAAGTCAAAGGCAAAATCCAGTTCCCTCTGTGTTGGTCCACAGTACTGCACCCTTGAATTCCTGTCTTCAAATTAAGTTTCTTCAGATTAGGACTGATACTGCCTGAAGGTTAACCAATGTACATTTTTGGAAGACGCAGATGCCAAACCATAAAATCATTGAGCCGAGTTCATTCCTGGTAAATTCCCATTTGCAAACATGCTTGTAACTTGCAGGACCATCAAATTCCACTGCTACCACATCAGATCCCAGTTCCTTCACTATCCCTTTTTTTTGGTTTGGCTCTTCAGCCCAACTGTGTACTTAGAGAACCCTGAAAGCAGTAGTTTAAATTGTGGGTGCCTCAAATTTCGATCATATGGTATTATTTTGGCACATCAGTCAATGCTGAGCAATCTCCCACCCCCACCAACTACAATGAAAAATAATGGTGAGCCCTGGAAGGGTGAAGGAGAAGTCAGGTGAATGATTTGGGTTCATGTCATAGTGTCTGAGTACATAATCTTAAACATCTGCAGGCCAAGTACTGAGGCAAAAAGATGTACCAAGTTCTTAAGATGATCACTTAGTAGAATCCCCTTAAGACAATTCATGAAACTGATCTTTCTTTTCCATAGACACCATGCAAGGCCAACCTTTTGACCTGCCTGCAGTCTGATCCCTAGGAATTACAACCCTAATAATGCAGAGTAGTGGCTTGACCGCATCAGTTCATAAGCAAGTATGACTTAGAATCATAGAATGGTTTGGGTTGGAAGGGACCTTTAAAGGCCATCTAGTCCAACCCCCCTGCAGTAAGCAGGGACAGCTTCAACTAGAGCCGGTTGCTCAGAGACCCATCAAGCCTGGCCTTGAATGTCTCCAGGGATGGGGCCTCCACCACCTCTCTGGGCAGCCTGCTCCAGTGTTTCCCCACCGTCCTACTAGAGGACTTATTCCTAATGTCTAATCTAACTCTACCCTGCTCTAGTTTAAAACAGTTGCCCCTTGTCCTATCACTGCATGCCCTTAACCTTCCTATAGAACTTCAATATCAGTGTCCTGTACAATTAAAAACCCCAGCAATGACAAGCCCCAGAACTGATTCCATTTAAGGATTAATTTAGCTAGAGCAATGTGAGCCTGCATTGTCATTTGGCTCTATGTGCCTAGAGAAAACTCAGCGACAGATCCACCACATGCTGAGCGTTACCTGTGCGTGGGACACCCGTGGTTTCCTGCTGGATGAAGACAGGAGCACTCTCCTGATTTTCTTCCACTGCATAGATGCTGATGTTGTACTGAACGCCCGGCATCAAGTCACTCAGTGTTACAGAGGTTGCAGTGTCAGGGAGGTTGAGCTCTGTGCTGCTGCCTTCGACAGAGGGTGTGTAGATAATTCTGTAGCCTAAAGCAAGAGAAGTATACTGGGCTCAGCCACAACCAGTAAGCCAGCACATGGAACACTAGAACTAAGGAACACTAGAACTAAGAGCTCAACCGATCTCCTCACTGAGGTTTAATAAAAATAGTCCTGAACTTTAGCAGGACACGAGGCTTGCCTGTGCTCACATCCCATCTACAGACCACACACTCATAATGCCTTACAAAGCAGGGTCTGACCTGGATTAGAGTATTTCAGAGTTTTGACATGTGGATTTAGGTCTAATACAGTTCTTATGCTTGTTTTGGGATGATCTGCATGACAGATACAAGAAGACAGTCATGGGCTTTGTTTTCATTTAACATAAATCCAGAAGGAATTGTTTTGCATCCAGCCTCCCAAATTGTTTGGTTCAGAAATCAAGCAAATGCTCAACTGCCCACGTGCTTTCCAGCTGGCCTCTCAGACTGGGCAGAATTACACCCTCGCCCTCCATCCCAGAGCTAGACCACATTTGCTTTTCTACTTAGATCACAGATTCTACCCGCAGTGCAAAATCAGCGTGCTCCGACTAAGACAAACCTGTGATGGGAGCCTGGGGTCTGCTCCAGCTAATGACAATTGATGTGTCATCTACGCTTTCCACGGTGTGATCAGGAGGTGCATCGGGAGCTGGTTAAGGGAATAAACAGGGGAGGACAGCAAGCGTGAGGATGAGAAGGAAAAAAAATGACTGAGCAAACAATACAAACAGCTGTCAAAATGCAGCAACACCCACACATACCTGTAGTCTGTGAAGTAGACAGAATTAGATTCTGCTCTCCTTCCTCAGAGATCTGATAGACATTAACAATATACTTGCGACCAGGAAGCAAGTCAGGGATATTGACAGAAGTGGCTGTGCTTGGAAGATCTAAGGAAGGCAGGAAAGAAAAAATTGCCTTAGCAATTCTACCTTCTTGCTTTCATTCTAAATGAAATAACTGAGACTTTGGTTGTACTCTGTGCTGAATGTGAGTCTTCCAGCAATAAAACAGGAATTGTTCTGCACTGCATCTTTAGCCCACATCAGAAAAGTTGCATGGGGAGTTGGGACAGGTATCCACACTCAGCAAGCAGACCCCACCTTGGAAAGCAAGGCTTTATGGCAGGGCAACTTGAACAGCAGTCCACTGCCCACTGCTGACATTTAGGCACCTCTGCTAACCAAGCACTCGTTTCATACCCTGACTTTTGGATTTTCAATACAGAACTATATGGAAAAAATGTCACATTAATAGGTTATGTGGAAAGCCTGACTCATGAGTAGAGCCCATCATTATGAAGGCTGATGCACTTCTCTCCCCACCTCCCTTCCCCCAGATGTCCACCTACATGCCAGATGTAGGAAATTCCCCACAAAGCAGCTCCTTACTGGCCAGACTGAAGCCAAATATCTTAAGGGAAAGTGGAAATTGCCTTCCAATTTGCCTGTAAGCCTCCAGAGACAGATGAGCTCAGGAGCTGCTTCACAACACAGCTCAGCTGCCTGAGCAGCCAGTGTGCAGACAAGAAAGGTGGTGACAGTGCTGGCAGTGCCAGTGTAAGTCAATTCTGCTCAGAACTCCAAGTCTGTCAGTCCTGAGCAACAGTACAGGAGGAATTAAGTCAAAGGATTATCGTTCTTTTGCTCATGTTGTTCCTCTGTTGCACTTGTTTTAACAGCTATAACCTCAAATCCTTATGGATATTGTTATTGCCATTGTCAAAACAGGAAATTAGGAAAAAGAAGATGAAATTGTGTGACTCTACAGTAGACATTGAAAAAGTGGATTCAATTCCTAGGTCTGAGTCCAGTGCCTTTAACCAGCTTCCCAGCTTAGCTAAGTTGTCATATCATCAAAGATGAGTACGAACTGATCCAAACAAAACAACCAGCAGGGCAGACTGGAACAGACATCCACGAGGAGACAAGTAGCCAAGAGGAAAGATTTCTGTCTATTCTGACTGAAGGACAAAGGTTTAGCAAAGGAAATAAGCCAGGTGTGGCACGTTTGAAAAGGAGATTGGCTTCTCTTCTCATCTGCACTGCTGCTTACTTCAGACTGCTGTGGAAGCTGGTACATTCTCACAATTTCAAAAGGAAAATAAGACTGGACAAATCCATGGAGCTGAAAGAATGAGTAGGTCTAACCCACAGTTACTACAAATCCACCACCCCTAGCTCAGGGAATTTTCCTCTGCAGGATCCTAGGACAGTATTTTGAGGGAGCATTGCTACATACTTGCCTTGTTCTCATACTCGTCCCTGGACATGAACTTAACGGCTATTGATGGAGAAAGGACAATGAACTAAGTGAGCTTTTCATCTGAGCTGTTCCTGCCACTGCTAAATCAGACTGATAGACAGCGAGACCCACACTGTTGACACTGGCTGTACTGATTCTCACAGGAAACAGCACTATACTGTTAGCTATGTCTGGTCTAGTAGACTCAAATATTGTCTCACCAAGATACTGCGGCTCATCACCCTCCTCACTCAGCTCATACTCAACACGGAATCCAGAAACTGTGTCAGAAGCAGAAACCCAGGACACAACAAAGCTGTTGGCTGTGATTTCAGTGACTGACTCTGAAGTAGCAACGACGGGAGGGAGAAGAGTCGTCTCTCCTGAAACAGTGTTGCCTACAAGAGGGAAGAAAGGGAGGTTCCATTAAGCACCGTTAGTTTTGTGTTAACTGGGAGGCACCAAATAAAGACTCAGGTGAAGGAGATGGTTTTTTTTTTCTGGATGCCCTGCTGTCCAACTTACTCGTCACTGCTGTGGTGCTGGTTGTGGTAAAATCAAAGCGGGTGACCTCTTTGTGGCCATAGCGCTGAACACTGATGAGCTGCCCTTCATATATCACACCAGGCTTCAGGCCTGAGATGGTGTAGGAGTTCTGGTAGCCAGGGACGGTGGCCTCCTTCCACTGCCTTCCTGAGTTTTTCTGCAAGAACAAGGACCCTCAAAGTGAGAGACTCCCCAGCCTGCAAGCAGGGCTACCTAGGGACCTAACCTGCTACGTGGTTACCACGCACTGTGATACTCAATCGCAGGTATGACCTGAATGGCTATTGCACAGATAGAATCAAGTCAAGGGAGATGAGAAAAGTATGCCAGGAAGCATGATTAATGACATTTTGGGTGATTAACTTTTACTGGGATCAACTGAAAAACAACCTAGCTTTGAACTTTTTCCTTTAAAAGGAGATTTGTAATTTATAAAATAAGCTCATTCCTTTATCAAAAATGCAGGAAGACATGAAGGAATGGCTGGAAAATGCATGTTTGAAGGCTGTTCACAGTAACACTCCAAGCCATCATCTGAAAACAATATACAGAAAAGTCCTTCCCTTCTACCCTGTGTTTGAACTCTATGGGAAGCTCTAAAGTAATGCTCCATCCTCTGAGGTTTGTACTCCAGCACTTTAAAGTCTATTTCACTCAGGCCTTGATCCAAGATACACTTAAGTCAGTAAAAAGACTTGAGTGCCTTTAATGGCTTTGGATCAGGGCCTTTATTGTTCTCACTAAGAGGCAGTGCTGAGGTACTAATGTTCTTCATCATTAAGTGGTCTTCTGTGAAGCTGCACTCAGGGGAACCTAATACAACAACTCATCTATGTTGGTTAAACCAAATCATTCCTCAAATATGAACAAGCCAACAAGCAGTGGTTAACCAGCTCTGGGTTAGACTTCAGAGAAGATGGGAAATGACTAGGTTAATGAGTTAATCCTTTGCTAGCTGTTTATATCTTCACATCCTACCTATTTTTACCTCCTCATTAATTGTGTAAAATCTATCCCAGTTGTCTGTGGATACGCACATGGTACTAAAACACCATTTCTTAGGATGAAGGAGCTTCCACAAGGATTTGCATTAAAGTAAGGAAGGATATAAATTTGTCTGCTGACTATGCTAGTGCTTTAGTTAATAAGATACTTAATGAACACAGTGACCAGTAAAGTTTGGACAGGAAAACACCAAGTGTTTATACAGCACTGGCTGTCTTGGATCGTTAGAGTAACTGTTGACCTCGACAGGACAAGGATACTGAATTAGCAACTGAAGTTTGCTGAAATTGTGTCAGCCACTTCTTTCAGACACCAGAAAAGGCCAGATAAAGTATTTTTGATGAATGAATGATGAGGCATGTGGCACTCACCGGTCTCCAGCGCAGGATGTACTTGGTGATGTGAGATCTTTCAGGAGCATTCCACTGGATGGGATGGGAGTTTGGCTGATTTGTACTCTCTGTGATGATCACCTGTACAGGCCCAGCTGACCCTGGGGGGGAAAAAAAAAAAAAATTGCCATTTTTAACACGCTGTGGATGCTTTTCTTTTCCCTTCATTGTGGAGTGATCAAAAAGCAAGAAAGTTGTGTGGCTCGTGCAACTTCTATACATGGGAGGTTATACTGTCTTTCTTTAAGGCTTCATTGCTACTTAGAAAACCAACGAAATTAGAGTATATTCTGTGGAGGAACTGACATGCACATGCTTGCTTCCTGGGAGTTACCAATGGAATAGAAAACCCGAAGTCTAGTACAGGAAAAAGTCCACAAAGCAAAGTTCTATTGTTCAAAGAGAGGGAGCTTCTCAGTGACAAACTGCTTTCATTAATGAGTATCTTCTGCAATGGGAGCAGGGAAACATATGAGAAATGTCTGTCAAATCCAGGTCTAATCCTGTGGCGTGTTGAGGGCAAACTCCTGATCTGGCATTGAATACACTCTGCAAAGAGACCCTAGTCTTTGACTATTTTACCAAATTTCCTAGTTCTTTCAAAACACTGAATTTTCATGACACTATGGAGCATTCCACAGGCATGTCTCCTGCACAAAAACCTCACCAGAAGGGTTGCTGGAAGTCTTGAAACAAATCAGGCCCATAAACTCATTAATATGTAAGTTCAGCAGTGCTTTAACACCTAAGACTACCAATTGCATTTATATAGATCAGGCTGAGGCACATTTTCTCCACAAAGCTCTCCAGCACAGAAGGAAAGGTTTTATGATCTCATGTCTCTCCTTCCAGTCCCTCCCAGCCCTGCTGGGGAGTTTTCACTGAACACTCAGCAGCACTGACCTCCTGTTAGTTCTCAGAAAATCCCAAAGAGCACCCTGGAATCTGCAGGGACGTGTCTTGTTTTAGCCATTAAATACTTCACTGCACCCCTACAACCAACAGCTCCAATTATAATTTATTTGGACAACCATGTAACACATATACCTGCCCCAAGTTCGACTTCCAGGCAAACAAACCTGTGCCCACAGGCAGAAAATTTCCAAGTTCATCTAACCCCAAACCTACATTCAGGAGCATTATATTTGGTTTATTTACACATTTTCAGTCTCTCTTATGTCTAAAGAAGCCCAAAGGCCTGGTCTCTAGTCTGGAGGCATGCATATTTCACATAGCTCAGGGCAATGTTTGTTTAAGTAGTCTGGCAGGAGTCAATGAAGCTCAGCAAGCCCCAGTAAGAAACTCAAGAAAAAAAAAAGTCCAAAAAAGGCCTGCCTCCTACTCTGCCCTCCTTTGCTGTCCCAAAGAAAGGTCAGTCCATAGCTCTGTCTGCCAACTCTCCTCTTGCTCATCTCTGGCTCACTAGCTGAACATGGGCCAGGTTCCATAGGGTCCTGTCACAGACCTTCTGTGCCATGGGCATGAAGCAAGGCAGAGAAGAGACACTCGCCTTATTTATGTGAAGCACGAGGCTGCATCAGACTTCAAAGGGGCTAGTCCCCTTCCGCAGCAGAGGCACCTATATTAAATTCCTCTCTCTGAATGAGCCTCACATTCTCCTTCTTATGCCACAGGGCACTTTGGGGTATGAATACACTACAGCTAGTGAGTGGACAGACTTTTCTTAACCTATCTTGATGTAAAAGCAGAGGTTCACCTCAGCACTGAAACTGCTACATCCAATCCTTACTCAGTTCCTCCACATTTACGCTCAGAGTTGGGGAACTGATGACATGAGCAGTCTTCTCTCAACAAGGAATCCAAAACATAGCCTAAATATTTCATCTTATTCAGATTAAGACAGCAGCAGCTGCAACCTTGAACAGGACAGTGAGGAGGCTCCTCTTCATCATGTTCTGTTTGGGGAACTGAAACAGAACAAACAGGCACTGCCTGACCCTGTAAAGATTTCCTGGAACTGAGCTAACAGAAGTTCAAACATTTCATTTCTTCAGGGCACTGATCAGGAAAGATGTTTCATTCCATAGTGGATTTTGCTTCTGGAGTGAGTGGAAAAGGAAAGACTACACACATAAGAGTTCTAACCAACAGAAACTGAAGGTTGCAGGTGTGATAGCTTTGAGTACCAAGAGGCAATGTAAACCCAAGTTGTCATGTGAACTGACCCACATTCTCTAAACTCACCCTGGGCTCAGGAATAGCTGTTAACAGCCTGGCCCCCTCTTTATAATCCTGAGACCCTTTGCATCTGCCAGGGGAGCAGGGAAATGGAAGAACAGGCAGAAACCCAGACAGGCAAGAGGTGGACACGTTGCTTTCTTCACGTCTTACCCAGCAGCTGGGTTAGTCATCTGCTGGGTTTCTTACCAGGATAGGTCTGCAGCGGCTGGCAGTGCCACTCCCCGATGCCACGGCCGTAGCAGTAGCACTGGTACCGGACACCATGGACGTACTTCTGCCAGGAATCTCCGATCTGGTAGAAGGTGCGCGTTTCGGAATCCTGGCACTGGTCTGGGGGCACAAGAGGGGCAGTTAACCGCTGCGGGTTCCTGAGGCTACAGGGACAGATCTATGCCAAACAGAAGTCACAGGAGACTTTCACACGAAGCAACACGAATATTTATTTGCAAATGTAGTTACATAAAGCAGTAACAGAAACTGAATCTCAAATCAAGGTTCTTGATCTATCACTGCCTGTGTTAAGATTGGTACAAGGGGGCTGATTGAGCTGTGACATTTAAGACACTGCTGAGTACAGTTTGTCTACCTGGCAAACTTCCCAGGCAAGTCAGTGGGGTGTTCCTTCAAGAAAGGATTTATTCTGAACTGTCTATTGTGGAGCCCAGTTCTGCTCCAGTCAACTAATTTCACCTTTCATCCAAAGCTAAACTGTGCTGTTCTCAAGGAAATAAATGGCAAAAGTCCTCCTGGCTTCAGCAGAATTCAGTTATAACTTGTAAGTCCAAAGTGACCCACTAATTTTCAGCAGCCTTTCCAGATTTACAATTGTATAAACCAAAGGAGGACAGATCAGATCCTGAAATCAGCTTAGCCAGTGTGAATCCTACACAGTACCAGCACTTCAGTACAACTTCTAGTCTGACCTATGCCTGTGTTTCGGGCTCAGTGGAAATTTTCAGTGAGACCTGGCATTATGCTTGCTTGTAAAAACAGGAACCTTGTTGAGAGAGCTATAACAAAACTAAACTGATTGCACCCTTACAGAAAGCTGAAATCACCCTCCTCCCCTTCTTTCAAAGGAGTCATTTTCAGGAGCTTTACAATGCAAGCTGCCCCAGTAAACCCGTACAGATATTACTGTAAATAAAGCAGAACTTAACCACTAGCACTTCCTAATAGATTTCCTTGGCAATAGTTTGCAGTTCTCTTGGATTTAGTAGTTGCAAACCAAACAGCTAGGTCTTATCTTCCAATCGAGGTTCACTAGGGAAAGGGAGCAGGCAGAAGAGATTAGATCTCCTCATTCCTGAAGAGAACCAGGATGGTTTTAGCTAACCTCTAGAGTGCTATTAACACGTGTTCTCATCCTGAGCCTTCTCTCTCTGCCAGAACAAAGGGCAGCCAAAAAAATCAATTTAGTCCAAGGAAAGTTAATATATGCTGGTACTCCTTTCTCAGTTCAGTGAAGAGGCAGAAAGATTTTAGGGCAGAGAAAGAAACTGAAACATGATCCTAGCAACACTGCCTCGATGTGTGTTGTTTCAGTCTGAGTGCCCTGCATGCTAGGCCAACAGTTCAGGTACCAGAATTTAGCCAAATCACCCCAGCCCAGGGCTAATGTGCCCTGTTACATTTTAAGACATACATTACCACAATCCATCATCAATGACTTCTTCTGTGGCACACATCTGATAACCCAAGCTTATGTCCTTAAAACTATGAATGCTCTTTCACTTATCCTCCAGCAAACCCAGTGTTATTTCTGCTTTTGCAGTTGTGCAATTCAGGGCAGAAAGTGGGCAAAGACCGGGCCCAAATTCAGCCCCCAGTTTCACCATACCATAACCAGTTTCTATGCAGCCATTGAGCATGCTGGGAGGGCAGAAGCAGCTGGTGACTTACCAACAGGATCACACTTCCACCTTCCCCGGCCCTGGCCGAAGCACGTGCAGTTCAGCATGTGCCCCTCATCGTGACGCTTGTGGAAGGTCTGGTTCACATCGTAGGTGATGCCGTCCACAATGCACTGGTCTGTTTGAGAAAGAGCAGAGGCAGTTTGTCAGCCAGAGCTTGAAGTGTTAAGATAAAATCCTCCTTAGCACATTGTTCCCTCCTCTTGATGAGTTTAGAGAGGCTGACCAGGACAAGCTCCACTCATGCACAAGGGAACCCTCCTGATACCTGCAATCATCACAGATTGGTGCTGCATACACACTACTGCTCCCAAGGCCATTCCTCAGCAGTGAGCAAGCAAGCAACACTTGCAGAAAAGAGGTCTTTAGGATGCAGCCCAAAGCATCAAGTTGCTCAAACTACAGAACTGCCTGTTTGTTCCTTCTCACAGATTCCACATGTGAAAGAAAATCTTAAACAGCACACCAAGTCTTTCCCTACCACCTCTGAGGAAGGTCTAGGATGGAAATACATCAGTGAGTACTGTCTGAAATCATTAGAAGCACACAAGGAGAAAAGGGCTACTCCAAATTCATAAAGATCCCATAAAGAGGTGCAAACATCCTCATGGTTTTATTTTGCTGGGTATCTCTGCTATACTTTGTAGTCATCTGAAGACAGGAGCAAATCTATTACACATCCAAGATGCTACTTGTGCCTACTGATCTACTATTCCCTCAAAACACAGCAAGCAGATCCCAAACCCACGCCTAAGTACGACAGCATCAGTCTGTTAGGTCAACCACCACGTGTCAGCCTGATCTGGCCCAGGATTCCTAACGCCAGATTAATGACAGCAAGAAGCAGAAAGCAAAACAGACACAAAAACCACCCCAGAAGCATATTGTTTTGTTCCCCCAAGAGAACCAACCAAGTTCAGTTCTGGAGTCAATCACAGATCATCTTTCCCTGGGGAAGTGACTCAGTTAATCCCAGGCTTTCATTCCCCATCATACTTTCCCACACCATGCGCACAGCATCAGGATAAACCGAGCAGCACTCAGCCCCTCCTCCAGGTGCTAAGGACCTTCCCTTGGCTGCAGAGTTTAAACAGCTCTACTTGGATAACCTTTGCCTTTTGAAAAATCGAAATAGCTCTGCCCCTCCTCATCAAAACCATATTAAATCCAGAATGAAACTGCAGAGAACTAGCTGTGTATGTGGAAAAAAGAGTTTCACAGACCAGAACTTTTAGCAGTGCATTTCTCACTGTTCTGAAGGAAATGCATAAAACCCCCACCCCTCCCAAAGCCCCCAAGTGAGCCTTTCCTTATAAATTATATCCCATTTCAGCAGTGGCCTTTCTTGGCTGCTTGACAGCAACCCCCCTGCCTTTTCCAGACATGAAGCCAATGCTGTGAGCTAGCTGTAGTATGATCAAATGTCTGTGCTTTTAAGTCTTCTTTTTTTGGTATTGCTTAAGCACTTCTCCACTTGGACCACTCATATAAATAAGTAAATAAGAGTAATCTCAGTGCTGTCCTGCCAATTTTTCATATAGATTAGCCAGCCAAGGGCTAATCCAGCACAAAGGAATTGGACATTTCACTGCAGAACAATAAAATAGAACAGCTCTGCGTTCAAACCTCAGATTAGTCCGGGGGTTTTGTCTGCTCTTGAGAGGGGGAAGTGCCTCTACTGAGCTCTCTGTAAAGTCACAGAGGTGCTGATTCCTAGACAAAAGGAGTTAGGGATAGCTCCTGATCAAGCTAATCAAGGTTTGTCTCTGCCTGCTAGGCTGCAAAAGCTGAAGCAGTGCTTTTGGTGCACAAAAAGAGACAGGAACTTCATGTAGCTCCTCTGATTCCCTATCTACTCTGAAGAAAAGCTTGGTCATATGCAGTTCTTGAGTCTGGGCTTGAACTCAAAGCAACAGGAAAACCCCCTAGTTTCTCCCACCCCTCAAACACTTAATGTAGTAACACCAACATGAAAATCAGTACCTCTGAGTTGTGAATAGGCAATGCAAGTCCATTCTCCACGGCCATTTCCTACACAAGTACATCTCATCATGTGGCCCATGTCATGCTGCTTATCCCACTGGTCCCCGACACGGTACATGACTCCTTCGTTGGTTGTGCAGATTTCTTCGTGGGCTGGTAAAAAGAAAGCAAAAGGATATTTTTGTGGCTAGAATTAATAAGATCTTGAGGGCTTAGAGCATTTGCAACCTCGCTTCATTAGTTACCAAAGACTTCATTTAAGGATTCAGTCATGTTCCCTCCCACACGGGCTCTCCTGACATCACAGCGACAAGTATGGATTGCAGGAATGGACCCCAAGATAGCTTTTGACATCACTGCCGTTTTCAGGGTAACACACAGACTGCATAAGTACAGGCTTATTCTTAACCACAGATGGGACAAGAGCAAGAGACAAGCCACAAGGGAGAAGCTTTGGTAGATGCAAGATAAAAACCTCACTTGCTACAAAGCACTACAGGCTAATGCTCTCCAATGGACCTACACCAGTTTGCACCAGCTGAGAAGCATGCCTACCACGGGCTTGTAGCAAAGAAGTACTGGAAATTGCCTTCTCCTGGCACTGCCTAAGTCTCTGCTGGAAGTAATTGGTGGGGGTAAAAAAAGAAAGCAAAACTTCAGAGACACCTTAACGAGTGTTGGGCTGGGATGCAAGTTCATGAGAAGTCATCGATAACTGACCAACAACAGACAGCTCTTTACTTTCCAGCTCAAAGAACCACTTATAGGTAGTCAATAATCCCTTGACAGCTCTCAGTCTTACCAGCCATAGGGCAGAAACCAAATTTCTGGTCAGCGTCATAGTTTTCCGTGGTTCCACACCACTTCATGTTGTCCCTCCGTCCCTCAGAAGTACAGTCGGTGTAGTTGCGGTTGTTGTACAGGAAGGGGAAGTGGCACAGAGCACCGTTGGAATTGCCACCGCGGGTCTGGACCAAAACTGCACACAAGGGAAAAGAAAATGGATGGAAATGAAGGATGCACTCTCCCTTAGCATGGAAACCAAACCACTACATTGGTTTGTCCCACACAAACCCTGTATATTACGTATGGGCCTCTTTTCTTGGCTTTAATTAATTCAGATTTGGAAACATAAGCCTTGCACAGGGTCAGTTCAGTTCAAACACTGCTTTGGAAAGAGCTGCGGAGCCAGCAATGGGAATTCCTGGGGAACAGGAAAAAATCAAAGCTTACTGTGATTGGGAATGAGCTTTGCAGACCCTTTGTGACAAAAGTCCAGGGAATCAAACTCACAGTTCTCACCATACCTGTATTATCTGACTGAGGCTGTCGCCCAGCTGTGCCCTTTAGCTTAAAGTGAAGCCTTAGCCCTCAGGCAAGGGTTACAATTCAGTTCTGTAGAACAGGACACATCAAAACTTCACTGCAGGTTGGAAGCTTTATGTTTTGCAAGCAGCAGAGGAAAGAGGGCTGCAATCTACCTGAACTACTCACCTATTGAGCAGCTCTGCTTTCCAAACAATGGAAAACAAGGAAGAACTTGCTGAGACTTTTCTGTATTGCTAGCTCTCATTCCCCAGTGTATTACAAGAAATCTCACTAAAACATGAATGTGTGTGTGGACTGGGACAGTGGGGTTTTTTGACGGGTTGTTTTTTTTAAAGAAAGAATATTGTACATACTGCAGAGAAAGGCTTGACTTTTATCAGAGAAAAAAAAAAAAAAGCTATGCAGAGTAAGAAGCAGTACTTTCATGTGGGAATACCAAGAGTTCTTTCCAAGGTCAGATCCAAGGGCACCTATAGGAAAGCTGGAGAAGTTTACAATGGCATGTAGCAGTAGAAAAAGAAGCAATAGTTGTAAACCAGAGCAGAGTAGATTCAGATTAGACATTAGAAAGAAGTTCTTCACTACGAGTGGTGAAACACTGGAGCAGGCTGCCCAGAGAGGTGGCAGATGCCCCATCCCTCGAGACATTCAAGGCCAGGCTTGATGTGGCTCTGAGCAACCTGCTCTAGTTGAAGATGTCCCTGCTTACTGCAGGGGGGTTGGACTAGATGACCTTGAAAGGTCCCATCTAACACAGAGTATTCTGTGGTCCCAGAGAAGCTGCCTAGATACTGTTCCACAGGTGCCTGACAGGCTTTCCAGGAATTGCAACTCCACAGGTAGATCTGTATTGTGAGGGTAATGCTGACCATCCACAGACCAGAAGGAATGCTGCTGCATTAGTCATGCGTCAGCTCTCGATCAGTGATCACAAATCACATTAAAATTACTGCTATATATGGCAACCTGACTAGCTGGTCAGGACAGAGGGAGTGACAGAGGACTGCACAAACTGTACTCCATGGATATCCTCCACTTTGCAGCCTAATATGGGCATTGTTCTGGCAATTCAACCAAGCAAAGGCAAAGTCTGAGCATCCTTTGGGCCAAAGCTCTGCCCTGACAAGGTACTCGTGTTATAAGGTCTGCACAGAGGAGAGAGAACAGGACTTAAAGGCTACACCTGTAACACCCTGAGCAACCTCCAATGATGCCAAGATGACACCAGTGCCCGGACTCCAGGCAGCCCTCCATTCACAGCACTGCCTTGCTGCTGAGCATGCCTAGATCATGCGTCCCTCCAGGCCACCAGAATTGTCCAGGAGGCCTATCCCTGTGTTCGCTGCTCCTTTCTCCACCTGCGCATGAGGGTCATGGGCACGTGCAGATCCTCTAGAGGAGCTTACCGTTCTGCTCAGTACAGAAGGAGTATCTCTTGTCCTGCTCAAAGTTGGAAGTGGTGCTGCACCAGAGGTGCCCGTCTGTGCGGCCTTCGGTGGTGCAGGAATAGAAAGTCCTCCCGTCGTAGGTGAAAGGCAGAACACAAGCTTCTCCATCAGAATTGCCGCCATATGTTTGGGTCACAGCTTTAAAACAAGCAAATCACAGCATCAGACTCTGGCTTAAAGCAGTCCCCAAATCCTAGGGCTCTTAAACAGCAACAGCCCCTCTGGGCCAAATCACTGGCTGCTGCAAACCCACACTGGCCACCATGGACCCAGGCCAACACACACCAACAGATGACTCAGCTCCACAGCTGGGTCATGCTTTTACATTCTTTTCCAAATATATTTTACTGCAGCTCGATTTGAATAAAGTCATTAATGCTGCTCCCCAAGGGCTCTGTTTTCTCTCAGCAGGATATATATATATGTAAAACTAACTGGGAAATGTTTCTGCCCTACAGCACCCAGCTTCAAATAACCAGAACAACTATTTCTTCACCCCTTGCACCTTTGTCCAGCAGTTTTTCCTCAGAAGACATTTTTGATAGACACACAAAAGGATTCTGCTTCGAAATGAAACCATAGGGCAGTCCCAAAGATCTCACTGGACCAAAGAGGCACTAAACACAAACTCATACCTATTTCCTGGCAGCTGACTCCGTTGCCCAGGCAGGTACAAAGCATTTGCTGGCTGCCCTGTGTCTTCAGCCACTGCATACCCACAGAATAGACCACTCCATTATCAGTTATGCACTGGCCATACGGCTGAGGCTGAGGCTGTTGAGGCTGGGGCTGGTACAGTGCAGTCTGCACGTTTGTGAAGCTAGGAGAGCCAGATCCTGCAGCAGAACAAGGGAAAGAAGTGAGACATGACACACAAAGCTGAAGAACAGAATGCTTCAGTTAAATGCTGGGCACCTTATGCACTCCATCAGATCAAAGGCACAACTCTCTTCGCTTCCCTAGACACATTTTAATTATCCCACTAAGCAAACTTCAAAATTGGAAGAACAATTCCCACTTCTGCTACTGACAGCCTCTGGTTTCCACCACCGTAGAGTGGCTTTAGAAAGGACTGAGTCAACTTCTTTTCACAGCAATTTAGAAAATTTTTTTGGAAAAAAAAAATTTAGTTGAAGGAAACCAGAATAGAAAAGTCAAGATCAGTGACAAGGCAATAAAAAATTATCAAGGAAGTAGGGAGATAAGGCAAAACCAATTCGTTTTGAATTTTTTTGTTGTAAAAGAAAAATCACAAATTTACTCTGGACTTTAATTTAAAGTTTGATTCAAAGATTTTGGTCCTTTTTCATTTGGAATAACAGAAAGGAAAATAATATTGGAACAACGGAGAGAAAAAGAGGCTTGCTGTCTACACTATGGACATTTTTGCCAATGATTCCCACAGGAATCTCCACAAATTCAGCACTGCTGAAACAGGGGAAATAATAATGGACACAAAATCCAGGCACCCTTGAAACTTTGCATTTTGAAGCTTAGACCTCCTGAGAGTTTGAAGTTAACCTGCTGGTAACAAACAGTTAAAGGTCATTTACCAAGAAAAATGTAGTGTAGGTACTGCAGGAAAACAGAAGTTTTACATTGTACTCACCAACAGGAAACTTAAGACGTTTAAAATGGCAAAAAAGAATTCAGAAGCTGAAGGCTTTAACAAACCTTGGGCAAAAAATGTGCTATCTATAAACCACGCAATATTTCACACCAAAATTACAAACTACCTAATGTACATATATTAAGTAGAATTGCATACATTCCTTAACATTTCTGGTTTTTAAAGCTCAACCATTACTAGGTGTATTTATCTTGTCAAAGAAACCAGATGGTCTCAGTAGAGTTTAAATTAATGACTTTCAAAGAAAGTTACCCTGAAGCAGAAACAAAGTTCAAACTTTAACTTAAGTGCCATGCCTGCCTCCACCACAAAGCTAGCAGATTGCTCTGGTGGATGCAGAAGCCCTCAGTGTGATTTACTGCTCTGTGACTGTGCAGACAATCACATCTGTGTGTGCAAGTCCCATTTGTGCATGGAAACGAGGTGGATAATAATCTTATCTACACATGCACAAACAAGCAGCATCCCCTGAACTCTGACCCTCTTTGTTGCTGATCTTTCCCTGATAAGAAGCTTAAATATCTGAGGATGGCACAATTCAAGTCCAAACCAACTCCTTGCCATTCCAAACGTGTCATTCCTTGTCCCTTACCCTATCTCATAGGCTACAATGCCCCACTTACCAGTGCTAGTTGTGTGCAGGGACGTGTGTCTTTCACATTTCCATTCACCTCTGCCGTTACCAGTACAGATACACTGAAGCAAGTTTCCACGGTTATCCTTCTTGCTCCAGGTATCTCCAATTCTGTAGGAAGTCTTGGTGTCATGGTCATTGCACCTGTCTGTATAAGGAACACGACTGTTAGCTATTTCTGCCTTGGATGGCCTCACCATAGGATTTACAGTACTGAAACACTACTATCAAACGAGCTGGTAGTTTAAAGCCTTTATTGAGATCCCATCTCATTTTGTGCAGCCCACTATTACAAGCTCTATATGCACTAATGCCTGCACTATATTACATAGGCTGAGAGCATCTGAAAATCCTGATGCTTTAGTCTAAGAGAGAATGCCCATTTCCAGAACTGTGATTTCAGCCTGTAGCCACTGTCAAAGTTAGCATCATAACATTCCCAGTATGAACATGGTAAGCTATGCTCAAAATCAACGTGAAAGAAAAGCACATTCTGGATTGAAAACACTCCTGCTAGTTACTCTTTAAGCTATTGTAAGCCCATGTTGTCTAGCATGCACTTTTAAAGCTAAGACTTGTTCTGATGTCCTTTTGTTCATTTGGGTTTTTTTTATAAAAGCAAGTCTTTTAACTGTGCCATTTCATATCATACACCAGGCAGAGTTCCAGTTTGGGACTCTACTTCAGCTGGAAGAAACTCAAACCTGTTTGCGAAGGATACATAAATTCCATTTCTTCCAAAAGAATTGTGCATGAAGCTCCAGTAAAGTTAATATCATCTGCTCATGTCATACCAGGAATATTAGATTTTCCAAATCTCCCTGTTGTCTTTAATAATCCACAGCCCCTGATTCATTGAGTAAATGCAAAGGGTTCAAAGAACAGCACAACAAACTACTTTTGTCTGAATGCCAGACCTACATGGATTAACTAGTAGTTCTTCCATTACAACATTTTACTTCCTCATTCAAGGGCAACTTGATACAGTGGCTCAAATATAATCATGGATCAATGAACATGACTTTAGGAAGAACTGTAGAAGGACATACACATCATGCCAGATTGTCACTGAAAGAGCACAAGGGATGACAATGTGGAAAACACATTACTAATGCACAGTAGTTAAAATGACTCGAAACAGTATTTTGCCAGAAGAGTGGTAAATTGGTCAAGTACTCATAACGTATTTTAGCAAAAGTGAAACAAAACCCTGTCTTATGAACACCCAAGAGTCTTAAGTTAGACAATGAAAAGCTGAAATGTTCCCCAGGAAATCAGCTGTGGTTCTGGAAAACACTGGCCATAAAAGATATGTAAGAGCAGCACATCCTTTAGCATAGTGCCACTTTCTGGGCTACGGCTATCATTTCTCTATAGAAGCAGATTAAAACCCCAAATAATCCAGCTACTGTCATTAGCACAGACCACCAGCTCTACAGCAGCTCCCCAGATCACAAATGGCAACCAGGACATCCAAGCACTCCCCTCAGAGGGGTTGTTTCCCACCCTCCCTTTTTAGGCACCAGCTATCCTAAAACTACTGCTGCTTGCAACAGGCCAGGAAAAGGACTCTCTTTTTCTTTTTGACACAGGGCAGATTTGAGAAACAAATAAGACAAATAAAGCGGAGCAGCCATCAGGCCAGTGCTTACTTCTGGAGGTGCAGGTGATGCGGCCGCTGCCCTCCCCCAGGCAGGTGCAGTCCACCATCATCCAGCCCTGGTAGGGCTTCTCCCAGGTCTCACCAACCACGTAGGATGTCCCGGCCGCGTTGTCGTAGCATCGCTCGGCTGTGAGAGTGAAAGAGGTAAAAGTCCACCAGGGCTGTCCCACCTGGGGATGCCTCAAGGAGGACGGGAAAGAAGAGGTCATACCCCTGACTGAGCTGGGGAGAAGGGAGCCGTAACCTACCCACAGGCTTGCAGGTCCACTCGCCCTTCCCGTTGCCCAGGCACACGCACTCCAGCATGTAGCCGCCAGTCTCGTGCGGCCGCCGCCAGGTATCGCCGATCTTGTAGGACTGGCCGCCCTCATGGCAGCGATCTGCAGAAGAGACGGGAGCTGAGGTGAGGGACCCCGCCAAGGAACAGCATCGTGGGGACGAGGTAAGGGCCACCAGCCAGGGGCAAAGGGGATCAAAGGGGGCAGAGGTAGCGGGTGGTGAGGAGAAGCAGTGGGGGAGGCCATGGCTGCTCCCTCCTTCTCTGGCCTGCAAAGTGGCACCTGCCATTTTCCACTGGCATCCACCATTTTCTGAACCTCCCAGGCCTCGTCCTGTCTCCTCAGCTAACTCCCTCCAAGTTTCAGACCACAGCTGAGCCCTGTCTGGTGAAAGGGGAATGCTGGGGCCTGAGGAGGTGCCGTTTCTCCCCTCAGACCCTCCTCACAGCCTGAGGGCTGGTGAGAGATTTGCCTCCATCTTGCTCTGAGGTGATACCACTTGGGCCTGTCTGTGGCTGTCCCTGTATAGCATGAGGGACATGGAGAATAAGGAGGTGCCTTGTGTGACACCTCAGTGAGACACAGGACCTCTTGGGTTTAGAAACCCTGCCCTGGGAAAGCAAATTCCCAGCCTGCCAGTGTCCCATGGCCCTTAGCCAGTCTGGACCAGTCTGTGAGCCCCAGGCTGAGGGAGGGAGACATGATAAAGGGCAGTTCACAAACACAGGGTCTTCTTCCAAGGAAAAGAGAAGCAAGTATCTGGTAATTTATAAGGAGCACTAAAATGTTTCATTGGCTCATCTGCAAAAGCAAGGAATCTGAGAGTTATGAAGATCGACTCAAAGCCAGCTGCAGTCAATGAGACTCTCCAGTGGGCCCTAAACCAAGCTGCTGCTGCTGAAATCAAACTTCTCTTATGCTTGCAATTTCCTTACTGACTCTTTTCTTACAAGTCTTATCATCTCTGCCCAGTAAAATTCAGGTAGGCTTCAACTCTACTTGCTAGATTCAACATTTTTTATTTCCACACTATAATGATGGCTTGTTTTCAAATCCTCTGTGGCAATGCTACTACGATCAGCATGTATGTCTTAAACAAGAAACTGGATACTTTTAAGAACACGACTTCTATAAAGGTGCCTCAGGGACTTTGAAATCTCAGCCTAGAAGTCCTGACACAGTGTTATCTGTGCTCCCAGAAAGTCTAAGTATGAACTAAAGGGAAATTGTGAACAATTAGGTGACTCAGTAAGGAAAGGATTTCCAGACAGACATGAAAGGGAGAGCTGAGGAGAAAAGACCTGGGGAAAGATAGAGAAACAAGAGGAAAGTATGGGTCAGGCCAGTGAAAAACAAGTTTCAGAAACACTTTGAGCTGATGTTTGTATATCAAATCCCAGCTCCCTTGAGGACAGGTGCTGGCATGATGTTTTTGGAGGACATGGGGACTGGCACCCAGGTGGTATTTTTTTATTATCATTATTATTTAGTAAACCCATTAATGCTGAAGGTGTTAATCGGACTCACTAGCTGCAGAGCAGACCCTCATGCTTTTTTCCAGTCCAAAAACTACATTCATAAATGCTCCTGTGAAGATGTAACATTCTTGTATGTAGTAACGTACTAACCTGTATAGCTGGACACTAACAGTAATTGTTGGCCTATGTTTTTTCTAGCACTTTACCTCGTAAATAAAAGAGAAATTTGGTTGTGCAAGTGTATGTACACGAGGCAAGGACTTTCAATTCCAAGATTTATAACAGACTTTGGATTAATCCCCCCAACTCTAGCTAATGGGCTCTGGGAATATTGTATAAATTGCCCTGGAAAAAATGACACTAAGGAACAATAGCTCTAGTAACAGGCTTTTAGTTACATACTGGCAATGGTGCAGCTGATTCTCCCACGTCCAGCTCCAATGCAAGTGCAGTCCCAGATCATGGAGTCCTTGGGGCGCTCATAAGTCTCCCCTACTCGGTAAGTGGATCCAGTGTATTTGTCAAAGCAAGTTTCTTCAGCTATGAGGGGAGAAAAATCAACTTCATGCAATAATGCCAGTAAGATGTAGTCAACAGAAATACACATTCAGCCCCTCCTCACAGAGATGCTCTTTTTATCTGAGGAGAAATGCATATCAGTTTCCTCTTTCTTCCTGGAATGGAAGAGCAGAGAGAAAGCTGAATGAAATTCACCCCCTCACGGCCCCCATGATGCTAAATAACCTTGGTTTCCCTCCCTCTGTGAGCCAAAAGCTGAGCATGGCACCTGGGCAGGCACAGCCCTGAAGGGATCAGTCCCAACTGTCGGAAGTACAACACAAAAGGTGGGAGGGAGGGAGCAAACATCCCCTAGAAGCTGTGTGCTTTGTCATGTTAATCCTCTTCATTCTGACTTAGCAAAAACCAGAGTATCTGCATCCCAAATTCTACAGCAGTCCCACCGAAGTCAGCAGCACTACTTGGGAATTGTTCACACTTGCACATGAGTTAAGTGATTACAGCATGGTCACGACGTCAGTGCAGCCACCAAACTTGAGATCTGCAACAGAACAACCCTCTTCACTACTGGGCAGATAGTTAACTGTGCCATAAGAGAAGGTTGCTGTTCAACTTTGGATCTGTTCAAACTTTGGAATCCCCGTAGGGGAAGGAAAGCTAGATTAAAACCCCTTTTATGGAGGAGTGAGCGTAAAAACATTCGTTAAAAAATACTCCAGCCTCGAGGCAGGCAGCACACAAGCCCTGCAAAACAACTTGCTGGGATGCTCCCATCTGTCTTACAGGGACACTATCAGCCAGGAACCAGTTTTTCTTCCCTTACATCTCCAAAGCAACATAAAGGAGTTATGGCAAACCAGTGACCTCAGACCAATAAATATAGATAGATCACATCTGATAATCTAAACTACATCATATCCCAGAAAGAGTCATCTTCCAGCAGACGTCGCATTGAAAGTTCTTTCTTTCACCCAAACTCTTTCCTGCAGAAGACTAAACAATCTCGTTTTACACTCAATTATAGAAAGCTCAGAGTAGGCTGGGGGACTGCATAAAGTTGTAAGTTGAAATTTTTTTAAACAAACTGACGACATCGCACAGCTATGAAAAGTTGGGGTGAAGCAAGCAAACAGCACAGAGCCAATGCTGCAAAGTGACTCCAGATTTGAACTTCCCTGTGTGAGTCCAGGAGTCAGTTCAGTTCATTATAAAGTAGAGGCTGGCTCCAAAATTAATGTTTAGATCCAATCCTCCAGAGAGATGAGTGATGTTTGGCTCAGAATTCTGGTGGCAGGCCCATCGCTAATGAAAAGCATTTCTTAAAATCCCAAGCCAGATCTTCAGTGTAATTGAGTGTAGATCCATTACTGACCCTAATGTACCAAACTCCAGCTGAACACCCAGTCTGGCAGTTACAACTCGGCACCAGGCTTATCTTACAGAGCACCAAAAGCCCCGCTGGGGACTCTATGCAGACAAAAAGCCCATCAACTTACGCTCCGGCTTGCTTTCGCAGTTAAACCCTCGGCTTCCACCGTAGCAGGTACAGACCAGCGTGTTTCCCAGGTAAATGCGCTCCCACTGCTGGTTTATCTGGTAGTATCTTCCATTGTCATAACAGGTCTCTGAGGGGCGAAGAGGAGGAGGGAGGAAGCAGAGGGGAAAGAAAAAGAAAAGTTTGGAGTTACCGACAGCAGAGGCGAGGAGAGAAGGCGCACGGCA